GGTATTGTCCCTTCCAACTTATGGCATATGGATGTATATGTTTGCTTAATGTGATTGTAGCGGGACATTATGTGGTGTAATGATTAATTGCAAATTACCATTCATTATCTCTTAGTCTTAGATATAGATGAGAAAGTACCAAAATGTCCTCACATATATTAAGGAAAATAGAAAATAAATGTATTTTACTTTATTTTTATTCTTTCTCCCCACCTTTTCCATTATCATTCTGTTCCTAGCTTCAAGGAACGTGGGGAACCTTTCTGTTGCTTCTGTATGTATATTAACCTGAGACAATCATCTAATAACAATCAAGTTAGATTCTCCCAACAACATCTATAGCAAAACCTCTTTCATGGTATCAGAGCTGGTTACGGTCATCTAGCTCGGATCTGATTTCTTTTGTTCTTCTCTTCTCTCAAGCGATACCCCCTGTATTCTTTCTTCTCTTCCTCTGTTTCCATGGCAGGCTCCTCAGGCCCAAACAGCTCGTCACTTGCTGATGATGCTATTATTACCTTCAATCCAGCTGCGCAATTGCCATTGAAATTGACTTCAATCAATTTTCACTCCTGGAGATCCCAGCTAGAGACACTTCTTATGGGATTGGATCTTATCAGTTTTATTGATGGAACCGGTGTGGCTCCTGCTCAAACAGTCACGGCAGACAATACCACCGCTCCCAATCCTGCTTATCGGCGCTGGTATCGTCAAGACAAACTCATTTTACATGCTCTTCGATGCTCTATATCTGAATCATTATACTCCTATGTATCTGCGGCTGTTACCTCTCGAGAAGCTTGGCTGATTCTGGAGAGATTGTATGCTAGCCGTTCTCAATCTCGTATTATAAATCTGAAAGGCAAGCTGGCTTCCACCACCAAAGGAGATCAGGATGTCGTTACATATGTTAATGATCTCAAACTAATTGCTGCGGAACTTGCACTTATTGATGAACCTGTGAAAGATCTGGATCTGGTTGTTCACTGTCTTCGTGGTCTTGGACCCGAATACAATCAGTTTGCTGCTGCTGTTCGAGCTCGGGGATCAGCCATAGCCATTGAAGATCTTCTCGATGCTTTGGTTGAGTTCGAAGCTGACTTAAAAGTACAAGTGCGCACTGCGAGCGTTCCCACGGCGTTTTATTCTCAGGGTCTTCCTCGTCGGGGCAGCGGCGGTGGAGCTGGAGATCGCAGCGATGGCGATCTATTCCCTGGAGGCGGCGGCTCTTTTCGAGGGCAGAATAATGGTCGCCAGCAGCAGCTGGGCTTTCCCCCCAGTCGCCAGCAGCAAGTGGGCTTTAGCCCTCGCGGCCCACACTTATCTTCTGAGCCCACTCGCCCTCGCCGGCCCACTATAACATGCCAATACTGTGAACGTCCAGGACATTCAGTAAGGCAATGCTTCAAATTATTTCCACAGGCCCGTCAGGCCCATAATCAGAATCGCTCAGCCCAGGCCAACTTCACTCATACAGGCCAGTCCAGTGGCACTTCTTCCGGTCCATGGTTAATGGATTCAGCAGCAAGTCATCATGTGACTCCAGATTTGGGTCATCTCTCTCTTTATTCAGACTATACAGGCCCCGATGAAATTCTTGTGGGTGATGGTTCAGGTTTGGCTATTTCACATATTGGCTCGTCCTCAATTTCCAATGGTTCTAATACCTTATTTTTGAACGATATATTATGTGTTCCCACTATCAAGAAACACTTAATTTCGGTGGCTAAGTTATGTCAAACTAATCCAGTATCGGTGGAATTTTTTGCCTCTCATTTTATTGTGAAGGATCTTCGCACGGGGGCGCAGCTTCTGAAGGGGGAAAACAACGGTGATGTGTATGAGTTGCCTCGAGAGGTGCAAAATGTTCGCATGGCGCTTGTAACGACTCGGACATCAGCAACTTCGTGGCACGCCCGTCTTGGTCATCCATCCCATCAGTCCTTAGCTAGTCTTATTCGGTCATTTTCTCTCCCTGTCTCGTCTTCCATTACCAGTTCCCCTTGTGATGCTTGTCTCTCTAATAAAAGCCATAAACTCCCTTTCTCAGTCTCTTCGTTATCCAGTGATCGACCATTTGATCTTTTGTATACTGATGTTTGGGGCCCTGCTCCCGTTACTTCGATTGATGGCTATCGTTATTATTTGATTATTATTGATCATTTCACTCGATATACTTGGTATTATCCATTATGCAATAAGTCTGATGTTCTTAACACTTTTCTGTCTTTTCGTAAGATGGTTGAAAATTATTTTTCCACCACTATTCGTCGTTTGTACACGGATGGTGGCGGGGAATTTCAAAAATTACGTTCTGATCTTATTGCTAATGGTATTACTCATCTTCTCACTCCTCCTCATACTCCTGAACATAATGGCATTGCTGAACGCAAACATAGACATTTGGTTGAAACTGGTATCACTCTTCTCCATCACGCTAATCTTCCCACCTCTTTTTGGTCTTTTGCTTTTTCCACTGCCATATATCTCATCAATCGTCTACCATCCTCGGCCTTGCGTGGTAAAATTCCCTACACTCTTCTCTTCAATTTGCCGCCTTCCTATCATAAGCTGCGTATTTTTGGGTGCCTTTGTTATCCATGGCTTCGCCCCTACTCTAATCATAAACTTGATCCTCGATCCCGCCCGTGTTTATTCCTTGGTTACTGTCCGCAGCGCAGTGCTTATCGTTGCTTTGATCCCACCACTCATCGTCTTTTTCTCTCTCGTCATGTCATCTTTGTTGAGTCTCATTTTCCAGGGTACTGTGCCACGCCTCCTGCTGATTTGTCCACGTCCGAGTCTTGGCTATATGATATGTCACCTACCATCACTACCATCTCTACACATCATCCGGTGCACTCTTCCCCCTTGGCGGCCGCTCCTGTGCCAGATTCCTCCACTGGGCCCTCTTCATCAGCCTCTTCTGTTGGGCCTTCCACTAGTGGGCCGTCTTCCCCTGGTCTTCTTCCTGGACCTTCTTCCCGTGGGCCTGCTACTCCCTCGGCTGCTTCTCTTATCCCGCCTCCTGGCCCGCCGCCAATCATCCGCTCTCATCCGATGCAAACAAGGGCCCAGCGGGGCATTTTTAGGCCCAAGCGGCGCCTTTTTGTCACTCAGCTATCCCCTGGGCCTCCGCCTCTAGAGCCTCTTACTGTAAGTGAGGCAAAGAAATACAAGGAGTGGGATGCGGCCCTTAATGCTGAGAATTCTGCTTTGTTGGCTAATGACACATGGGAGCTTGTTCCACGGCTTCCGCATTATAATGTTCTTGGTAATCGGTGGGTTTTTCGGGTCAAGCATCTTTCCGATGGGTCTATTGAGCGTTTCAAAACGCGCTTGGTTGCTAAAGGTTTTCATCAACGCCCTGGTCTTGATTTCACTGATACATTCAGTCCGGTTGTTAAACCTGTCACTGTTCGTACTGTTTTTACTTTGGCTCTAACTCATGGTTGGTCCATTGCTCAGTTTGATGTGAATAATGCCTTTCTTCAAGGTCCCTTGGAAGAGGAGGTCTACATGGTTCAACCTCCTGGGTTTGTTGATCCTTCTCGTCCGCACCATGTTTGTCGTCTTAAGAAGGCTATTTATGGTCTTCGTCAGGCGCCGCGAGCTTGGTACACTACACTGTGTTCTTTTCTCCAGGAATTTGGCTTTCAGAAGACTCATTCTGATGCCTCTCTATTCGTCTACTCTCGCGGGCGCACTCTTCTCTATTTTTTGGTCTATGTTGATGATTTGCTTCTGACGGGCAATGATCCTGCTGTGCTTCACTCTTTTCAGCAGGCTCTTTCTCATCGTTTCTCTCTTAAGGCTCTTGGTGATGTCAATTATTTTCTGGGCATTGAGATCATTCCTACCGCGACTGGTTTTTTGTTATCTCAACGTAAGTATATGGTTGACATTCTTCAGCGGTTTCTTATGATGGATGCTAATTCTGTTGACACTCCTATGGCTGCCTCTGCCACTCTCACTCTTGATGATGGTACTCCTCCCACTGATGCTACTAGATTTCGCCAGGCAGTTGGTGCACTTCAGTATCTCGTCTACACTCGTCCTGACATTGCTTTCTCTGTTAACAAGCTTTCTCAGTATATGCATGCTCCGACTGCTCATCACTGGCAATGCGTCAAACGTCTTCTTCGCTATATCTCTGGCACTCTTACCTTTGGTCTCTCCATTCGGCGCTCTACTACACCCTTGACATTGACAGCTTTTGCGGATTCGGATTGGGCGGGCAATCCGGATGACCGCTCTTCCACTACTGGTTATCTTGTCTATCTTGGGTCTACACTTATCTCCTGGCGGTCTCAGAAACAACGTACTGTTGCTCGTTCCAGCACTGAGGCAGAATATCGTGCCATTGCTCATACTGCGGCTGAGCTAGAGTGGATTCAAAATTTACTTCAGGAGCTCCGAGTCCCCATGGCGTCTTCTCCCACACTTTATTCCGACAACCTTGGTGCGACCTATTTCAGCTCCAACCCGGTCTTTCATTCCCGGATGAAGCATTTGGCCTTGGATTATCACTTCGCCCGTCAGCTGGTGCAGGCGGGTCGTCTCCGTGTTTCGTACATTCCCACTGCTCATCAGCTTGCAGACGCTCTTACCAAGCCGCTCTCTGCCTCTCGATTTCTTCTTCTACGATCCAAGATTGGAGTCGTTGATACCTCCTCCATCTTGCGGGGGCGTATTAAGGAAAATAGAAAATAAATGTATTTTACTTTATTTTTATTCTTTCTTCCCACCTTTTTCATTATCATTCTGTTCCTAGCTTCAAGGAACGTGGGGAACCTTTCTGTTGCTTCTGTATGTATATTAACCTGAGACAATCATCTAATAACAATCAAGTTAGATTCTCCCAACAACATCTATAGCAAAACCTCTTTCAACATACATATCCTACTGTTTTTTCTATCGCATCTGCAGTCAGTGAGTAGTGAAAAGTAAATTTATTTCGTACATTTTTCATCTTTACTTATCCTCACGTTTTGTTGAATATGTACAGAGAGGCTTTGGGGGAGTACCAGACCAAATTCCACGATGTGAAACTGGGCTTGGCTAGGGCCATGTCCCTAAACCTAGGGCAGGAAGTGTCCTATATCGAGAATGCTTTCAGTCTGGAGTCAGGCCTAGACGTCGCTGCTATGAATTTTTATCCACCAAACTTGAATTCGAAGGGCACCATCCGGCTGGCTGACCACACCGATCCTGGCTTCATCATCTCCCTTGTCCAAAACTTGGACGGTGGCCTTCAAATCCTAACCCATCAAGGAAAATGGGTTAACGTCCACATCCCTCCCAACGCCATCCTAATCCAAGTTGGGGAACATTTGGAGGTATATATTATATAGTAGTTGTAGTATACGACCAAATCATTAACTATGAAACCCCCAAAACCAAACCGTTAAGTATCTAATAAATATCACCATTATATAAAATAAAATAAAAAACATTCCCTTGGATGCACCTTTCATTTATAAGAAAAAAGAATGTTGTCTTATGTTTACCTATCAGAAAAGCATGTAATAATTAATGAGCTTATTTCAGTACTCATGAACTTTTCAATTTACAGGTTCTAACAAATGGCAAGTACAAGAGTCGCATCCATCATGTGACGGGCAACTACAAGGCAAAAAGGATCACCCTGGTCACACTTCATGGGCCATCTGCAGACAAATTTGTTGCTCCGGCGCAAGAATTTGTGGACGATTCCCACCCGCTGGCTTACCGTGGAATGACATACTCGGATGGGTTGAAATCCAATGATAATCATGAGATTGAAGTTCAATCATGCACTGCACAACACAGAATTCTTCTACCCTAGTGAATGCTTTATGTGTATGGTATCATCACCATGTCATTTATACCAACTCCAGGGGTTCATATATATATTTGATTTGGGTTATATGTATAATATGTCCTTCTACTATGTCGTTTTCATCAAACATGTCCCTCTACTACTTTTTACATCAAACATGCCCCTGTACTTTGGAAAAATGATCAAACATGCCCTTATGTTAAAATTTTCATTAAAAATGACAGAGACATGTTTAATAAAATGACATAATAGAAGAAGAGCATATTATACCTATAACCCATTTGATATTTATCGATTGTTGCTTGTTTGTTTAGTAATGGAATATCCCACATCTGATTTGCCTCGCGGGCATCCACCTCTTCGGTCATGGCTGCATATATCCCACTGAGGAATCCCACACGCCTGCCTATAATTGGCAGGAATAGGAATGGGGTATTACTGCAAATGCAACATAATCACTATGATGAGAGGGTGGCTGCAGTGGCGGATACCCTCACCCTAAAATTTGGAAACATGATTATTTAACTTTGGATAGTAGTTTGTATACGAGAAAAAAAATGTTTAAGTGGTAGTGGGACACCCTTAAAATTTGGGAAAATGATTATCCAACCTCCCGTAGTAGTTTGCTTATTGGTACAAATAATATTTTAGTAGTATTTATGTGATTTAAACTTGAGACACTGCCACTATTAGTAAACATATTTACATTTACACTACAATTCATTTGTTATTGTGTTTTAGATCCAAATATAATAGTAAAATGTTATTCTAATCCCAAATTATTTTTAAAACCTAACGATTAAACCAATTACGGGATACCCTTTTCTAGTAGGATATGTCGAGAGATCTTTGTTGAGCAGTATAGACACCAAATGTATTTTACCATTTTACGAAACATGTCTGAACTTTTAATATAACTTTTATTGGTAAGATATTTTTATATTTAATAATTATTTAATTTAATTTTTATATTTAATTAAACTTAATTTTTGAAAGAGGACACCCCTATGAAGAATTTCTGGATCCGCAATTGGGTGGCTGACCTCGTGTTACTCTAGTGGATCGGCGAGGTACCACCAGCTGATCAGTCCCGCCTTGGCTCGCCGCAGGTGAAGGTGAAGTATCGGAGGAGGAGCTGCTGTGACTAGATGAGCCACCGCTACTGGACGAAGAATGCAAGTTGCTGCACTGATCCGAGAACGTGCCGCTAGGAGAAGAAGGGTCGCTGTCCCCATAGGAGTTGCTAGTCTTGTCATTGTTAAACCCTAACCTAGTTATAAATAGACAAAAGCTTATGTAAATTAAAGAAGAATGATTAAGAATTTCAATTAAGAAAATTCTCAATTGGAACTCTAATTTATCGATTTCCTCTTCTGAAAAATCTTGATGATAATAAAAAGTATGAAAGGGGCGATTTTTTCGTTCTTTGGTTTAAGGAAATATAGATGTGAATTAAAATAATGATGTCTAAAAATTGGTTTTCGTTTGATTTTAAGGAATTATATAGACGGGAATTAAAATGATGAAGTAAAAATATAAACACTAGTAATTGAACCTGTGTTTTTAGGATAGAAATAAACTTGACTACTACATGGCTGTTATATATCACAATATACTGAACACGTAAACTTATATTCTTACTAAATATCGTTAAGGTCTTGGGGGCCGAGACCATTTTTCGGGGGGTCAGGGCCCACCCCACAATCAATGTAGCTCCGCCCCTGCTACCCAACCGCCATCCACCCATATTTAGTGGTTGAAAAAATCAATGATTCACACCCATCCATTACATCCACCCAAATATGTAATGGATGGACTATAATTGAATGGAGTCACATCCCTAGTACGTAGCTCCGTCGCCGGTGATGCTCAGTTTAATCACCGAAACAACAACTTGTTATTCATGAATGGTTTACAGGCTCAAATTGTTCCATGTATATGGCAGTGAAGTGATGAAGACAAGATCCTCACAACGGGGTTTGCCATATCAGCAACAATTATATATACAATAATTGTTTCATGAATTGAAACATCTCACATGGCCAATGGTCCATCAATAATTGTATATACAATAATTTTTTTCCTCCTATTGATCGATTGGATGGGTCGTTTACTATTGAAGTTTCAACTCCAACTCTCTGGAGTTTTCTACGTCCAGAAGAAGAAAGAAAAGAAAATTCTAGAACTAAGATATTTGAGGGAGAAAGAAAAATTTAGGAGCAGGAAATGGAAGAGAAACCCAGAATTAGAAAAAAAATCTAAGAAATTTTTTGAGTATGTAGGGAATGGTATAAAAATTAAAAAGGGGATATGGCCCTTACGGGTTTCGGGGTTTGTGTGTTTCTGTTTTTTTATTGTTCCCATCTTATGCAAGTGGGCAGACAAACAACGAAAAGAGTGAAGAGGATTGTTTGTGGTGACGTATAGAATGTAAAGGTGAGGTTGAAAGAATTGTTAGTGTGTGGTGAGTCTATAGTAGTGAGAATAAGCTTAAGTTGTAAGTTTAGTTCATCACATTCTGTAACTACTATTCCAGAGCATTTACCCGATTCAGTAAAACTCGACAAGTGATATTCGAGTTGAGGTTATGCTGAGTATGGTTTGTGGTTCCAATTAAGTTTGATTTTGCACATCGGAAAAGTTTTCTTGGGCTTGTGATACATACGTTGAGGCAAAGTAGTCAGTTTGGGATCGACATACGAGTTGCTTGGTTAGAAACCAAGTTACGTGGAGGTGTCGTTGGTGCGTAGTCCTGGACTACTAAGCTTATTGATCTGAGACCAAGCTTACTTTGTTGATAAAGAAAAATCAAAAAGTCACTATGGCGGATATGGTTGCATGAGTTAGTAGCATCGAGATGCTAAACAACTACAACTACAATACATGAAGTACTCGAATGGAGTTTTGTCTTCTTAGACAAGATCCGTGAGAGATCGTGGACGGGAGCCAAACCACACCAACTAACGAAGCCGAGAGTCTCCATAAATGGAATGTCAGAGCTGGAAGAGCATTCTATGCTCTGGCTGTTGCTATGGATGATATCATGTTGCAAACTCTCAAGAAGGCTAAGACACCAACGGAGGCGTGAAAGTCATTAGCTGAAATATGTGCTCGCACTAATGACGCAAAGCTACAGGTGCTCAACAATGAGCTAATGTCAATCTCGCAGTGAGATATGATAGTGAGTGATTACTTAACTAAGGTAAAACGTAACCTTGTTTGAAGATATATCGAAGTTGGATCTTGAAAATCGCCTAAGCGAGACTAGGATGAAGAGAATTATAGTCCACGGGTTACGTACTCCCGAGTTTAATGAACTCGTTATGCCAATACGTGGATGGGCTAAAGAGCCGACGTTGGAGGAGTTAGCCAATACTCTAGCAAATCAAGAAGATTTAGACAAGCAGTTGTCTAAAGATAGTGTTAAAGATGAGGAAGCACTCTTTAGCAAGAAGAATGATGTTGGGGCCAGAAGTCTCTAAAGGAGGAGGCAATGTAAGGCAAGAGAGCATGAGCATACCATTATGGAGTAGGCAGCAAGGGGGAGCTCACCTAAACACAGAGGAAGGAGATGAGATGTCACACCAAAGGCGAAGTAAGGAGTGTTACAATTGTGGCAAGAAAGGTAACTTTGCTCGAGATTGTTGGCATAAGAAGTGAATGGAAGGAAACATTGCAACATTAAGCAATCAGAATGGAGAATTGTCAGGTGAAGATGATTGGGATATGGATAAATTGTTTGCAATGGTAGAAACAAGTGAGAAGACTTCTTGATAGCAAAGCAATGAAATGTGAAGAAAGAGGCAACATCAAAGACGTAGAAACAAAACCTTGATAGTGTCTCAACCTCTAGACTGAACTACAAGAAGAACTGGATCTTTGATTTAGGATGTTCCAACCATATCACACATGAGATAAAGATAAACTAATGGATTATTCCAAGACTAAGGGACGACAAGTTGTGGTAACCGAAAACAACGCAAGGTTAAGCATTTGCACACGTGGGCGCAAAGATAGCTTCTGACTCTGATCTAGAAGCAGTCCAGCTAGAAAGAGTCTATCACGTGTCTGGTGTTGGGCTAAGTAATGAGCTCTTAATCCTAAATCCTAGACATTTCGAGGTTCGAATCCCTTCCGTACATAGTATCTTAATAAATAAAAAAAATGAAACTTATATCACTCTTATCGAAAGGAAATAATGGAGAACAGGCGAATATATAGGCCATGCCATGAACTAATTATATATATGTGTGCCAAAAGACCAAGAACACCACTAGTAAATTTTCCGAGTCCCACCACCATATGTCACACATGACACAAACTGAAACAAAAATGTAAAAAGTAATCAAGTAGTCCCCCACATATGGGTAATTAAGTCCCATCTTATTTATGGTTGCTTATATATTATTCTTGGAAAGTTCACGAGAGAAATGAGCATTGATAAAGGATACACGTTCTTTAGATCGACCATAGATCGAATCTAAAGTTACTAGGAATAGGTTGATCATAAAAGCATTTGATCACGTACTAATCACCGATACATTTTACGTAACTGTAACTGATCCGAAGTCGACGACGACCAGCTCCTCGTGGATTGCCATCGCCGCCTGCATCGAGCTTTCGAAAAACATGGTAATCCAAACCCAAATTACCAGCTGTGCCCTTGCAATACGTTGTACTTCTAATAATTCTCACCATTGCTTGTTTCCCATTTGCGGAATTAGTCACCTACGTACGTACGTACAACCACACACAAAAAACCACAATCCGGGCACGTACGATGAGTGCACCAAAATGGAAAATCTAAAAACCGTAGAGCAGAACGAACGATTAATGTTACTTTACCAGTAGGCATTGACCGGCAGCAATAATATTACTATGGGTCGTTGAAACATTCGATGCCGGCGGTCCACATACTGCAGCACAGCCATACTCGGACGACGAAGCCTTATTGTCCAGGTTTTGGTCGTAGGTGGCGTCGATTAGCAACATTTTTTCGTCGTCACGATCATGATCAGGCTCAGGCGGCTCAGGCGGATCAGGATCAGTACCAGGATCAGGATCAGGATCAGCACAACCGCCCAGGCAATTACAAGGGTTGCAAACGTAAGTTGTTCCGTCATATTTTGCACAATTACAAGGCGTGCAGTAACCGACCAAGCTCCCACAGTAGCCAAAGTCACTGCAACAGCGTCCTGTCCCACACTCCGCACAGCCCGTCGTCAGAGGTCGGCATGTGCACGTATGGTTGTCCGATTCGACGGCCGCGATGACGGCCGGCGGCGACATAAGAACGACAATGATCAATACTGCCACAAGGGATGCAACACGTTTCATCGATCGATAATCGTTAGGTCGACCTTGCTGCTAGCTGATTTTTTTTTTTGTGACGTACGTTACGTTGTTTGATTTGGTGCATTAGTGGGGTTGAGTAGAAGCTCTTTTTATAGTGGTTAATTAGTGTGATCGATCGGGAACATTTAATTTACTATACGTTCTTAATTAGAAAAATTCCATTATTCTTCTATTGGGGTTTCTTAATTTGGAGTTATGGATAAAAACCTGCTGGCTAAGATTCGATTTGGGCGTACTGATGAGTTAGGAGATGACAAGTACTGCCGAATGTAATTAGTTGGTCCTCTTAAAACTCAAAACTCCTAGGCAAGGATGATATAGGACAAAGTACCGAGCGTAATTTATGTTAGTAGTACGTACGTAGTTCGCCAGGCAGTTTGTATATGATTCCTTTTGTATTTTGACAAATGAATTTGTTAGCTCCGACTTGTATATTATTCCAAATTCAATTTTCATCAGTATTTGTGAATTTGCCGTTGCTTCCATCAATATATATATTTGCTTATGAAATTAGGTTTAGCCTTGTATTACACATGTGATATATATATAGTAAAATAAAGGGTTATAATACCATGGGGAAATCCGAACTATAAAGAAAGTGTTATTTGTGTTCCCAACTATTCAATATTCCAAAAATGTCTCAATCTATTATAGTTCTGTGTCATTTATGTCCTGACAATTTTGTTGACCGTTATAGATAACGTTGACCAGACGGTGATCAACTTGGCATTGAATTTTGCTGACCGTTATGGGGAGTTATTTAGTACAAATAATAAATTTATCGGTACGAAAATGATATATACACCTTCAAATCATATTTAAGGCATGATACTATACGAAAAAAAGTCTCATTTGTAAAATTTAGGTTCTAATTTATTTAAATCCTATATCATAACATTATTAATTAACTCTATTAGAAATAATAATTAGGGCCTTAGGGGGTTTATCATGTGAGTTCATGTACATTGTACTAAATTCTATTAGGTGAATTTTCGGGTCATTTGCTTTATGGATTTGAAAAATGAAAATTTTGGTAAGACTTGGATTTTGTAAAACCATGGATATATAAGGATTTTGGGTTCATTATGGATTTGAAAAATTCCATTGTTTGTTTCATAGATTTCACGATTGAATTGATTAATTAGATTTGTATGTATGAAGTGAAATTTATCTTTATTGCTCCCATTGCTATCAAACTTCATTGGCAATGGATCAATACCAATACATGTCTAGTATGTTATGTAAAAGATAATCGTGATGACAACAATCTACGATATAAATAGCATGTTGTTCCAACTCAATGCACATGCATACGTTGTGATTTCATGATAATAAGGCGCTCTAGCACTAGCATACATCGTGATTTCACCACCATTTCCGCTCACCGAAGAACAAGTCCCTTCGCAATAACAAAAATCGCACTGACGTCGGTGCCCATTTTTCTCACAGTAACAAACGGTACAGCAATGCAGACCAAAATTAAACCACAGTAGCCAAACCGGCTGCAGCAGCGTCCCGGGTTGCAGTCAGGGCAATTGCTGCCGTAACTGTAAGCAGCGCAGTAGCACGTGTGGTCTGACGATTCCACGGCATCGGCGACCGGCGAGGACGATATGATAACTATTGTGACGAAAGCTATCGTAACGGTGGTCGCTAAAAAGTAATACCACCTTCATTGCTAAATTTTTTTTTTTTTCTTTCTCGACTGGCCCTTTCTGTGTGTTAAAAGTGGGAAATCTATTTATAATGTGCAAAACTTGCTCGCAAGTGATCATCCACGTATTATTGCGATATGATGCACACTTCTACTATGATATAAAACATTGGTATTTTAATATACAAATTGAAATTGTACAATAATATATTATTTGGATATTCTACTATGACTGACGAAGAGAAACTAAGCTGAAGGCCGCGTTATTGAAATATATAATGCAGGTACCAATATGTAATAAGCCAGTCGGCTGATATGTGTAGCCTGTAGGGTTTGCCTAGTGATCCCTATATATATGTGTGTATTACGTTCAAGTTCAATATGTAATAACTAATAAGTGACCCGGCCCCATACACAATTTTTGGCCCAAATCCTATCTGTGAAAACTGAAAACTCTGGTTATTTAAATGAGTGATTATGGGCCTAAATTCCTCTGAATAAAATCTTCAATCCCAACCAAATCCAAAGTTCTCAAAATACCAAAATCCTCATTTTGAAATCTCACAAGCAAACGATACCTTTTTATTTGAAATTCTAAATCCAAAATCCAAATTATCTCAATCAAACACACCATACATATATACATACGTGACTGAATGTGGCTTCAATGAGACTATTTATTATATTATTCTTGAAACGACATATTGAAATTACAGATGCGATGTGTGATATATTGATAAGAATTCTTGTTCTAGAGGAGTAGAGGAGAGATCGATCCATAATATTTTTTCCGAAAGGAAAAAAAGAGGTCGTTACATATTAACTTATACATCATCTATAGTACTTTAACGTGCCATCTAATTGCTGATGCAACGCACATGTTTGTAGCTGATCGAAAGGTGATCTCGTGGTTTTCCTTTTTCGCTTGTATCGAGCTGTTGAAAACCTTCATAGTCCAATACCAAACTTGTAGTATTGTTGCAGTTTTGTTCATTAGTAATTCTCACCATTGTGCGTTTCCTATTTTCGATATTCGTCACCTGTAGTGCAACAATAAGATCATGTAAATTAGACAAATATTTAATTGCTCTAAAATCTATTTGTTGGAGCTTAATTGATAACTTTTCGGGGTTTGTAGGTGAGCTTTGGTAGGGTACGGTATGAATATTGCTTTCATAATCTAAATGGATATGAGTTGGGTATGGATACTCATTTACTTGAGAGTGTGATGGAAACCCGATGTAAGGATTGGGTGGACGGCCGGATGGGTCGGGTAGAGTAGAGTAGAGTAGTGGTATTTTCGTTATTTTTTTAATTATTTTCAAACTCCTATTTAAAGTGGTCAAACTTTATTTTACAGAATGAATTCAGAAAAGTTAAAACCTAAATCCCTAATCCTCCTCTCGCAATTCTTCCCCAATTCTTCTAAATCCCTAATTTCTTCCTCTCTAATCCCTAATTTCCAATTGGAAACTTCTTGAAACCGTCAGTGTTTTAACTACACACACAAAAATTGGACCTATTAGTAAAACTTAAAAAATGCAGGTATCAAAATGGAAAACACAAAAAATTTAGGTACCAATATGTAATTTTCCATCGATATTTTGAGGACCTATATGCAAAAAAAGTATTAGGTACTAAATCTAAAGACCTATTAAGTTTAGGTACCAATCTGCAATTTGCATATGGATATGGGTACAAACCCCAATTCATGGATTGAAAACCAAACCCAATCCAAGTAAATGGGTAAGAGTACAAACCCATCAAACTCTATCCATTTATCTTATATTTGAGTTTCATACCCAACCCAATCGAATTAAATAGTAAACTATCAATGTGTAAGGACAAAATTGTCACTCCTACAGTCCTACCTGGAGGCACTGACCGGGAACAATGGCGGCTGAAACATGAGCTGATGACGATGACGGTCCACATATCGCCGCATCAGCATACTCATGAACCCGCCTACGACGCCTTTGATCCACCGATGATGATGATGATGTGTTATCCACACGCAACTTATAACTTAGAGAAACGTTATTGATGTTGAGGCCACGATCGTATGTGGCAAGTAGAATGTATTCGTCGCCATGATCCTGATGATCATGATCAGGATCAGGATCATGACGACGACTCGCATGAGCAACAAGCGTAGTAGCATTACGCATTGCTTGGTCGCCCGGAGGATGATAACAATACTCATCGTAGCAATGACAAGGAGGTATGATGTTCCCCTGATTGTCATAACAAGGCGTGCAGTAAACAGCGCCAGCGCCACAATAATTGGACCAACTACAGCAACGCCCGGCTGCTATGTCACAGTCCGAGCAGTAATCAGTGTAAGGCCGGCAAGCTGTGCATGTATGATCGTCCCGCTCGCCATCAGCGCCCGTAATTACTACTAATAATACTGCTAGTAAAGTGAACAATTTTAGTGGCTTCATCGATCTTAATTTCTAAGTTTTAATCCATTTACTTGGTTGCTTCTGTTTATATTTTATAATGCAATAATTTCGGGACTAGTTTAATTTATCTTTGCTTCTGTTGGGTTATTAATTAATTAAACTGATTTGGAGTAGGAGTCTTTGCCGGGAAAACAACTCCGCCTGATTTAATTTAACTCGGTGTCGCTTAGTTTCTCGCTGTGTGCTATGCGGCTCTAGCTGTGCCGAAAAAGAATATTCGCCGGCCGGGGAATAGGTGGGGCGGTGGGCACATAGGTGGTTAATCCGCGGATTGATATCGATCCATCCGTAAGTAGTGGGTGATTGATGTGGGTGGATTGCTGATAGATAAATCTCACACCCACACTTATGCGGGTGGGTGATGGGTGGATTGCGCTCGAATGATCCGCGCCTTATTTTCATATAAAAAAATGTTGTTTCTTATAGTATCGAATATTCATCATATTTTCGAATCGCACTATAGTCTTACTATATATACTTCTAAAGGTGGAGAAAAAGAATAATTTTGACTATTATTATTGGTTATTGTGTTGTGTAATATCCATTAGATATTGGAATGTGAATTATTGTTCATATCCATTAAATATTGGAATGAAAACTATAAATTATTAATTGTATAAAAATAAAAAAATACATAAGTTTCTCTACACAATTGGTTAATAGAGTAGTAAAAAAATTTATACAAATACTACATGGATTTCACTTGAGACAAAGTGAGAAGTGTCTAAATTGATACAGTTTTCCTAATTTGCTATGAGCTTATTATAAATGTTAGTCAACTTTCTTAATGACTTGTTGTTGAATTGTTTTTGCGATTAATCCACGACCCAACCGCACCCATCTGTCACCCACCCAAACCGACCCGCAGAAGAATATGAGTGGATTGTAGGTCACAATTATTCTAACTCGCTAGTAAGCGGGTGGGTCAATTTAAAACGAAACTTCATCCAACCCGCCTATTACCCACCCTAGCACGGAGTGCGTGAGAATATGAATTCTGATCACTACTCTTTCGGTGGCATCAGCGCATAAGTACAAGAAAGTGAAGTATAGACAAATATCTATTAATTTCATGAATTTAGGGTGTGCAAGGTTGGTCCGTCTCGTATTGGATCAAACTCGTGAGAATCTCCCGTCAATAGTTAAAGAAATTTTAGGGTCGATAATCGGACCAACATTGCATTTTGGTTTGGCTTGGTTTGGTCTGATTTGCTCTAATTTAAAGGTCATTTCGATCCATTGTGCTTCATTGTTTATAAAAAATTTGATCCATTTTTGTATGATCTAGTTCAAACGTCGATTTGATCCGATGCGATCCAATACAGATCAACCGTTGCACACCTTCGACGCTTAAGCAGACATCAACAAGAGCATTGGGCTGATTAACCATTAACAAGACTCTCTACTCTCTAGTGCCATTCTTCAGCCTTTGGATCGAGTGGCCCAAATAGATCCGCTGTATTCGGCCTGAACTATTACCATCCAAAGCCCATCATCTATTTTTTTTCTTTCTTCAAAAAGCCTATTCTCTTGAATGCAATATCTATCTAGAAAAAGGGTAATTGATTGTTGGGCTAATAGCAGTAAGCACTGCATCCAAAATTGCGACACTTCTATTCAAAATGCAAATAATATCCTGAACTACAAGCATATCATGTCATTTCTATCCAACTTTTTTGTTGACTAAAGATAATAGTTGACCAAATGATATTCAAACTATTTAGATTATAGATACATAGTTAAGAAAAAATATTCTATTCATAGAGAAGTTTTTGTCGACATCTCAGCGATGAACTAATGATGAGCGTCTTTAGGTTGTGCCATTACTCGTCATAATCGAACCAAAATCAAGAGGTGCCGCAAGAGCTGTAGTACCGGACGGGGGAAAACCTTCGAGAGACTTTAGCCTTCAACACGGCTAATACAAAAAAGGATACACGGCTAGAATCTAATGTTTGGGAATAGTACTTATCACATACTAATAATTGTCGTTACATTTTACGTAACTGTAAGTCTGTAACTGATTCGAAGACGACCTCGATCGTCGATTTCCATTACTGCTTGCGTCGAGCAGCTGTCGGAAAAACATGGTAATCCAAAGCCCAAAAACTTGTGTCGATCGATGCAATATATATATATGTTCTGTTTCTAGTTCTCACCGTTGCTTGTTTCCCAATTTGCGGAACATTTTATCAGGCACATGACGACTAGCAAACGAGCCATTGATCTGATTCGTACTGGAACCAGCTGATGATGGCTGCAGCTGCCGCTGGTGGTTCTCCTTAGGCGCAGGAGGACAACGGCCGACGCAATGACAAGGGTCGCAAATTTTATTTCCACCGGCGCCTGTGCAATAACAAGGCGTACAGTAACCGGTCGAGTTCCCGCAGAAGCCCCAGTTGCTGCAACAGCGTCCTGCCTCGCACTGCCCGCAGCCCGTCGTGAAAGCAGCGCAATCGCACGTACGCTGAGCCGATTCGGCGGCGACGACGACGACCGGCGAGGGTGAAGACATAATAACAAGTACAATCACGAGGAGTATGGTGGGTGCCATGGCTGGGTTTTTTTTTTTTTTTTTGTTGTTGTTGCATACAACTTTTGATGTGTTAGATGTAGTACAAAGCTATTTATAATAGTGGTTACTGAATGCAAAGTGACATGGGGGAAGTCGGTCGATCGATAACAAATTAACAACTATACAAAAACGTTCCCTTCAACTCTCTTCTTCTATTGGGATATCTTAATTTGGAGTTATGGAAAACCTGGCTGAAGATTCGATTTGGGCATACAGATGAGGTAGAATGTGACAAGTGCGGAATGTAATTAGTTCCTCCTCTTCAAACTCGAAACTCCTTGGCCACAAGAGAGAGAGACGGCAACCATGTATGATGAGCCGATTTATGTTAGTCTCTCCTCTCTTTTTTTTTGGCCTTGTTGCCGCGATTACGAGTCGGGAGCCCTACAAAATAATGGAGCTTGAAGCATAAAGAAAGGCAAAGATTAGTTTATTTCATCTTGAATTCGAACGAAGAAATTTATCCTGGTCTTCTCTTCGAAAGCAGTAATTTATAGGGCTGGACAATCGGTTAGCGATTAACCGGTCGGTTACAAACGAAATTGGCCGGTTATCCACTAACCGAAAACCGTAATATTCATATTTTCCTTCCGAATTCCGAACGGAATAGCATTATTTTGGTTTCAATTTGGTTTAATTCGGTTCAGTCCTGGTTTACCAAACTGGTTGCCCACCCCTACTTTCACCCATTAAATTTCTTTGGTTTAATCTTAGGTAATGAGGTCAAAATCTCAATTTTATTATTAAATTCTTATGGTTTAATCATCTTACTGTAGAGTACGAGTTGCAAACAAGTAATCTAATAGAATGAGATAAATAAATACGAGAAATAGTGAACTGGACGTCTGGACTAGAGTGTTGGGCTCGATCCGTCGCACGAGCCCAAATATATTACGAGATGGGGATTGGTCCTTATCGAGTCGTCTTGATCAACCTTCAAGGTAATGTTCCTGTTGAGATGCCCACAAACAGTAGAGAAGAGTAGGAAGAGACACATGTAAACATGATGTTTTATCAGCCGAGTACGGTCCTATGGCTTTACATCTCGGCTCAAAGGTGGCTTACCTTTTGACGTTATTCCTGTTATTAATCCTGAAAATTCCTAATTGACACAAGCTGTGAGCTGTGAATTTGTAGGAACTAGGAAGGCGACACTTCTTAGTTTATGGAGAGGAGGCCGATCCCATCTTGACCGGCCCAGCAGTCTGTATTCTACAGATGGGAATCAAACCTGCATAATCCCAAATTACAAAATTACAAATTGCAAACCAACAATTGCCAATCCACATGGCATACAATAATAATAATAATGAATACTAACAGGGAACAAGCTAACTAATTTGGTTAATTAAATTATATGGTGGACTTTGCCAAGACTACAGAAAAGGGTGGATGGTCCATCCCTGTCTTTAAATGACAATCCTAAGTATTTGGTGGGTAATTTAAAATTCTAAGACCATTATTGATACAAATGACTAATTATTAGAAAGATATAAGACTTCTCTGTGTCTTGTGGACTCAAATCTCAACTAGTGATTGGGAGTTTCGAATAACATGAAATTGCTACACCACTAATAATCACCATACATATTGAAATGATGTATTAGAATATGGCGAATATGGATTGAGAGAGGCGGAACTACGCGTGTAGTGTAGCAGGGGCGGAGCTAGGTGGGGCCTCGAGAGTGGGGGGCCGAGAATTTTAAAACCTACGTATAAATTTTTACGAAATTTGACAATTACGTATAAATAAAAGGGTCGTTATAATTATTTCTGTGTGCAAATATGAATATTAAGCGTCTTCTAGTCCAGCGGTTAGCACATTTGATGCCCTTTCCTTCTCCCTTGGCCAGAGTTTGAACGTTGGACGGAGCATTTTGGATGTATTTTCATTTTTTGATCAGTTGTTACTTTTTTTCTTAAAAAAATTCCCCCATTGATCACTAAATAGAGTTACTAAAGGAAATACATTACATTAACGTTTTCATTATTTTTTACATTTATCAAAAGTTTTAATTTAATTTTTATTTATAATTTGTCATCTTAACTGTACCGATTTAGAACTTCAACTTTTTAATTTGTATTTGTCGTCTTGGTTATATTAATTGTCTTCACATATTAATATATTGCATGATTTTATTTTTGTTCATATAATCTAATCATTTGCTTAGAATATAATACCATAGAAATTTAAATTTCTTTAAATATAATTTAATAACTTGTTTATATAATTCACTTTTTCCTGGTAGTAAACAGAAAAAATTTCGGCTCCCCAACCTAAAATCATGGCTCCGCCCTGCAGTGTAGACAATGATGGAGCTAAAAAAATAAAAAAGTACGGACTGATTTAAACTGTGATAATTGAAAGAGATGACTAAAAACTTATTGGCTAAAATCAGACACCGTAATAAATTATGATAAATTCCATGTCAAGTAAACTTATAAAATTAAGTAAACAATAGGTGCATTGTGGGTATATAAAAATATAAAAAAATACTCTAAATAATAATGCAAATATTCCACTAAAACTATTCAAACTAAAAATGACCTCCTCAGTGTCAATTCCAAGGCCAATTGGCATATCGGTGGTTCGGCCGTACAACTGTTGGCTGCAGCCTGCAGCCATGAAAGCCACAAAGGGAGCCAAAGCGGTCAGCCGGTTGAAACAACGAGTGCTAGACCCGGATTCAGCCAGACTGGGGACCACGTGCCCCTCCCACATTTCACGCGGAGCTAACCGACAACGGCCTAGACAAGTCCAACTTCTTTTTCTTTCTTTTTCTCTTTTGTTCCTTTTTGAATATTCCAATTTCCAACCTTTTCTTTTTAATTAAGTTGAAAAAATACAAAAAAGTCCTACTTCGCTTCTTGTTCATTTTCCAGTACACGCACAGCCAATCTAACAACTTCATTAATCATTTAATTATAAATAATAATTTTTGCTGTATTTCATTTAATTTACAAAAGAATACAAAATCTTTGACCAGACCAGGTGCGTTTCCGTGAAGCAAACTGTAGCCTACTGAACTCCGCCCCAAATACGACGTCGGTCCATAGTCCTCCACTTTGACTCCTCCTCCCTACAAAACATCGAATCCACCTCTCTCTCTCTCTCTCTCTCTAAACTCCCAGTCTTCTTCTCCCCTCTGTTCTCTTCTCCATTCTCCGAACAAATTTCCAACCGGAAAATCGAGCAAAAAAATGGGAAGAGAAAGGGATGGACTGTACATAACGGTACCCAATCTCTTCCGCTGCCCGATCTCCCTCGACGTCATGAAATCTCCGGTCAGCCTCACCACCGGCGTCACATACGACCGGTCCAGCATCCAGAAATGGCTCGAGACCGGCCACGACACGTGTCCGGCCACCATGCAGATCCTCCCGTCCAAGGATTTCGTCCCCAACCTCACCCTCCTCCGTCTCATCAACCTGTGGAACCAATCCTCTTCCACCCGCCGCCCCGCCGCGTCCGAGGACCAGGTCCGGGTCTGGATTCACAAAATCCGAAGCGCCGGCGAGAGGAAGGAAGAGTGTCTCTCGTTTCTATCTCATCTCGTCGAATTCGCCGGGTGCTCCGATTACAACCGGCGGGTTCTGGTCGGAATCGAGGGTTTTGTCGAAACGGTTGTGGGGAAGATTGGGGAGTCGGAGATGGCGGTTAGGGTTTTGGGGCTGGTCTCCGGGGAGAACGGCGTCAAGGAGAAATTGCACAGGTTGTTGATTCTCCAGAGCGGCGATCGGAATCGGCTGTCGCCGTTGACTTCCACTCTCCGGGAGGCGGAGAATTCGAGCTCCAAGATCGAGGCGGTGAGAATTCTGGACTCGATCTCAATCGACAACGAATCGAAACGTTTCGTCGCGGAAACAGAGGATCTCGTCCCCGTCCTCCTCTCCCTGCTCCTCCGGCCGGGACCCGACCCGAATCATCTCCACGCGGCCGTTCTGTCGCTCCTGATCTCGATCGCAGTGACCCGCTCCGTCAGGATCCGACTCGTGGAGCTGGGGCTCGTCGGATTCCTCTCGCGAACGGTCTCCGACCGCAGCGCCGCCGCCGTTCCCCTGGCGGAGAAGTCGCTGAAGCTGCTCTCGCTGCTGTCGACGTGTCCGGAGGGCCGAGCGGCGATCAGCGGGGACCCGAATTGCGTGGGTGGGATCGTGGAGCGGCTGATGAAGGTGTCGAAGCCGGCGACGGAGGACGCGGTGGCGGTGCTGTGGGGGATGTGCTGCTTGTTCAAGGACGGGACCGTGGCGGAGAAGGCGGTGAGGAATCACGGCGTGACGAAGGTGCTTCTGGTGATGCAGAGCGAAGGGGAAGGCAACGTGAGGTCGATGTGCCGGGAGCTGGTGAAGGCTCTCAGGGCCGGATACAGGGGGAACGGCTGCGCCGGCGCCGGCAGCAGCGGTGACGGATTCGTCGTCGAGAGCTATGACACCAAAACAACGCACATCATGCCGTATTAGTTACTGAATCATACAAACATACAATTTTTTTGACAGGGTGTTTCTGGGTTTCCCTTTTCCTTGGGATCCCTTTTGTTTAACAAAAGATGTTGACATATACACACAGGGAAAGATTATTTTGTGAGTTTGAGCATAAGCATATTGAATTGACGAACATGGATGGATCAATCGTTCTTCCCTTCTGTCCACCGGAAGCTCCATTGAAATGAATGCATCACAGTTCACACCTCACAACAACAAAGACCACTTAGGAGGAAAACTGTCACCAATTCGCTACCGATAACTCGAGATGAAAAGAATTTTATTCAACTGTTGAATTTGGCTCAAACTACACTTTCATCCGATTCTAACGTTACCAATCAAACTAAAAATGCGCCACACATAGTCGCGCAGCAACCATGGAAGAAAATAGCACTTCTGACAGTTATCACTCTCAAGAGAAGCTAAGAGTGGCTTGTAACTGCAAAACAAAAAAAAAGTAAGTTAGATGCCGTCCAATGCAGACCAATGATGCTGACAAGCAAACAAACAGAAGTAAATCAAGCAGAGGACAGCAACCGAATCCTGAGTTTAGATATATGCTGAATCATATGGTGGAACTGCTAATTAATTGACGATACCGACAGAGACGAAGCGCCATTTGTACTCGAAACGATCCTAAAAAGAATCTACTAATGACCTTCCTCTAGTTATCACTCTTTTATCTATTAACTGAAATCAAGCGCTATGTTCCAGGACTGCTGAGCTTTCAGTATAGACCGAGTGACCAAGTCCAACAAATCCAAGAAGTTCCAGAATCAAGCAATCACTTCAAAGAATTAACAAATTTACAGCTTTGGTTTGGAACTTGACCATGAATCTAAGAGCCAACTAACCAAAAAACCAGCAAACTTGAACTCAATTTCTCCCCAATCCAAGAGCTGAAACACTTACCATGGATCAATCGGAGCTGCAATCGAAACATTGAAGCTATTGTTTACTCCTAATCAAGCCTTAATAGTTGCACTTCTCAGCCTCTACAAATCAACAAAAACATCAGCAGCCAAACGATCACTCTAAAATGAAGAAATTCAACACCTTTTGTAAGTAGAGGTAGAAGCACTCTATTACGCTATTGGGAGACAATCAAACTCTATAATTTCTGGAATGGAGCTGACCAAAATTATTACTAACCAGTCTAGATATATATATAAAAAAAAAAAAAAGCTATACATGAAATCCTGTTTCCCCCATTAGCTGGCAGGGATAGTCAGGTCCACAATGCATATGTGAATCCACAACCTACACCACCACCAGATAAACACTGATCAAGGAAAAGGTTTGCACTTTACAGGCAGCAGCAACATTCTAGAGTAATATTCAACATCATTGCTGTTGTTGAGGAGCAGAACATTGAAATTCAGAAGGCATGATATAGATATGGTTTTAGAAGGGAAGGAGGAGAGTAAGATACCTATCACTTCTTCATGGGTTTTCCTCGGGCATAGTTGTCTAGCTGAGGAAGTCCCAGGCGAATCCCTCTCCCAATCTGCCAATTTGAAAACAGAGAGTCGAACAGAGGGAAAAGCGTGGTTTTTGCTTTTCAATTCGCTCATCGGAGACAGTGAGTGCACCAGTCGCCGTGATTGTCAGGACTGTCATCGGAGGATTCTTTTGGATTCAAACTTCCACAGCAGCAGACGAAATCACTGCCGCCGAGATGGGAGAGTTTTGGATAACTTCACTATCTCCGGCTTTGGACCCCGCCTTGTCACCATCACAAAGAAAGCATAAAGCCGTCGGACAGTGGTCAGAGTGGAATATGCATGGTATGCTTAACATAGATTACAAAATTGAAACAGAAATATAATGGAAAGGAAATTCCCCCCTTTTGCCTGTGAAGCAGAGAGTCGGCGCCCTTATAGTATTTTTGCAGTAGATCGATCAGCCTAATGCTGGTTCCAGGAGCGAGAGCTCCAGCCAATAAATACTGGCACACCAGCATTGGCAAAACACTGCCAGCGGCGGAGATGGAGGGAGGCTGGGAGCAGGAAGCCTATGAATACATCGCTAAAGCTCCCATTACTTTTTCCCAGCCATTAACAGCAAACCCTGTGAGGATTGAGATTTTAATAGAGATTTTGCAATCAAGAGACCTGCCAACCACTTCAGGCAGTCGGAGGAAGGACACAAAAGAGGAAGAGAAGAGAAAATGGAGAACTCGATGGGAAGCCAGTTGATGATGATGAATCATCAGCTGCAGTGACCCATTTCGGTCAGAGGTGAGGCGGCTTTGAAGAGAACCTCCATGGTAAAAACTAAAAAGCAAACACTCTGAGGTTTCATATAGCTGTGAAAGTTGCATAAGCATTGAACTACTTCACAATGAAGCTCCAAGGCCAACGATTCATAGGGGTGTCAAATCTGCAAAAATTCTCTTTCAGATGAATTGAAACTACTGGCAAATCAATCCCCGTATAGTTAAAAAAGATGAAACAATTTTCACCTCATTTGATATACAAATAATGAATTTTCATCATAGAATTGAATTCGATTGACATTTTCATAACCATGATATCCAGCATGACACGCCCCTAAACTAAAACTGATGGCTGCAATCTTAAATAGATAATACACAAAGAAGTCCTCTCGACCGAGTTTCCTTGTATAGCCTATGCATACAGAGCAACCACTGGAGATAATTTTATTTTACCGCTCTAAGGGCACATGCTGCTGCCTTTTGCCGCCTTCTTTCTTCTAATACACGAGAGGATTGGTGGAATGCAAAGAGCAACCTTGCAATTTCGTCAGATCCCAGGTCCCTCCACCATTCCCCAGTTCCCTCTACCATTCCCAGCGACGGTCCGGTGAGTGTTTACTGTCAATTTCCCAGAAAGACTATTCTTGTTTGCTTGGTTTTCTTTATTTCGTTTGCTTGGTTTTCCTTACTACGATTTCTATTCTTCTAATTATGGAAATTCTGTTACTGGGTAGACTCTTGAGGAGGGGGCTTCTTCTAATACACGGGAGGATTGGTGGAATGCCCCAGACATGCAGAAGTTCTCGAATTCGGAAGAGGATTGGTGGGGTAATTCGGGTTTCTGTGACACTTTCTCTCAAGCCACGAGAACCCCTTATACGGAGAGCACCTTTTACTCTACACAGACTGCGGTAGTATCTATTGATTATTGATTCGACTAGAGGGGCTCCTAGCAGCAAACTTCTAGGAAGGGCCCCACGGAAACGCAGGAGATGCAGGAACGAAGTCACTCGACCGAAGGAACGAAGTTGCTCGCATTTGAATTAGAACAAGAAGGAGAGGGAGGGAATATATGAGCCCGAAGGAGATATGAATTCCATTCAGGCGGGTAAGGGCTTGGCTTGACCGTGTCTTTTCTCGGGTCGGAGGCAAAAACTGGAACATTAATTAGCCTGGGGCTGATTATTTGTGAAAATTTTTGTATGGCCAAAGCCCGGTGGGGGCGGTTCCTCCGTTGTGGGTAAACGGTAAACCCGACTCTACGAACCCGAGGAAAGGCTGCTCAGCACCTTTTGAGAAGAGTTGCTCTTTGGAGAGCACAGTACGATGAAAGTTGTAAGCTGTGTTCGGGGGGGAGTTATTGTCTATCGTTAGCCTCTATGGTAGAATTAGTACCGCAGTCTGTGTAGAGTAAAAGGTGCTCTCCGTATAAGGGGTTCCCGTGGCTTGAGAGAAAGTGTCACAGAAACCCGAAGTACCCCACCAATCCTCTTCCGAATTCAAGAACTTCTGCATGTCTGGGGCATTCCACCAATCCTCCCGTGTATTAGAAGAAGCCCCCTCCTCAAGAGTCTACCCAGTAACAGAATTTCCATAATTAGAAGAATAGAAATCGCCAGAAAGAAAAACCAAGCAAACGAAATAAAGAAAACCAAGCAAACAAGAATAGTCTTTCTGGGAAATTGATAGTAAACACTCACCGGACCGTCGCTGGGAATGGTAGAGGGAACTGGGGAATGGTGGAGGGACCTGGGATCTGACGAAATTGCAAGGTTGCTCTGTCCATTCCACCAATATGATCGATCGTTCTTCCATTGTGTCTACCGGGCCGTTAAGTTCCATTATGAAATAAACTGTATTCCGCCAATATGATACATTATAATGATACCCTGAAACCCGATAACCCGACAACGAAGGAAGAAGAGCTGAAGGAGTTTCTATCCCCAGGGCGGAAATCAATCCAGAGTCTGCTGTCAAAATTCTCCAACGCGAAGGCTACTTTTTACTCAATTCTGGTTGCCCGATTTGCTTATATCAAGGGAATTGCTGAGGGGGATTGTCAAGAGGAATAAAACTTGATATCGATGCTGGAAGACAGTTGCAGCATGTCGGACTTCTTGGGTCTCCCACAGATTGTGCCATACAACCCTCTTCCTTCCTTCCAATTCATCCCATCCCCTGTCCTTGCCCCTCCTGGAGTCTAAAACTCAGAGGTCAGCAGCCCTCAATTTCTGCATGAGCACTGTGTCTGAAGAAAGCCATCCGCTTATAGACAGATGTGGGTCCATAGCATAATCTGTTAACATCATCATCTACTTTGATCAATGGCAAGAATTTTAAAGCAATGCATCATTTAGGAAAGCCATCACAGTTCACACCTCAGAACAACAAGAGACCGGCTTAGGAGGAAAATATCACCAATAGATAACCCGAGATGACAAGAATTTTATTCAACTGTTGAATTTTGCTCAACTACACTTTCATCCGAATCTATCATTACCACTCAAACTAAAAATGCTTCATACATAGTTTCACACCGAAATCTCAGTCATAGACAGATGGAGATATAAAGCCGCTCATTCTTTGGTCCTATAAACAACCATTGTGATTTGTGAAGTAAGGAAACACAATAAACGTAGAAAAAGATAACAACTTTTCAATATATAAAGACAAGGGTAAGAGTTGATCACCACCAAGAACAAAACCTCACCTTCAAGCTGGAACAACAGCATCCAATTCCTGCTGCAACTCCTTGTGCTTCAAATACCGGTCCAATATCGCGAGCCTAGCAGTCTCGAACGCGAAATACCCCATTGCCGAGAAGCAAGCACTGTGAAGCACTCTCGGACCCATTCCCCTACTGAATCCAACCCACCCTTCCTCCATCAATATCTGCTTCACAGTATCTCCAACCCCTCCCATGGCTTCTCTGCCCACCTGAGTCATCAACCTCGTCTTCACGACATCGAGAGGAGTCGTCAAAGAAGCCGAGATCGCCCCTGCCAGCGCTCCACAGACCACGCTCTCAATCGGCTGCAATTGCGCCTTCTTGGCCTTGCTCAGCACCGCAGCTTTCAAGTACTCGAACGAGGAGTAACTCAACACCCCAGCAGGCAAATTCCTCAGCAATGTGGCCGAGTACCCGGCGTAAAGACCCAACACGCCGTCCTTCTCCAGTATCCTCGCCAGAACTTCCCACGACCTCCCCTTCGCCCCAGCCTGCATCCGCTGAGTGATCAGCTCTTTAGGGACCATGATTGCAGAGGAGACGATGTTCCCCATGGCGCCGGCGGTGGGAGGGATGAGCAGAGGAGGGAAGTCGTCGAGCTTGGCGAGGACCGATTTGCCGAACTCACAGGTGCCGAAGTAGACCGCGGAGGAGGCGGCGGATCCGACGATTACCGCGGAGGCGCCGCGGTAGAACCCTAGGATGCCCTTGTCGTGGAATGTCTTGACGACGGCGTCGAGGGTGCTTGCGTAGATCTGGGACGCCCCTTTGGTCTGGAGCTTGGTCTTGACGGCGTCGAGAGGGAGGAGGCAGAAGTTGGTGAAGGCCCCGGCGAGTCCGCCCCCGCCGGCGCCGATTAGGGCCCGCTCGAAGACGGAGAGGTTGTTGATTAGGGATTTGAGCTTGGCCGGGGTGCTGATGAGGGCGATTCGGTGGTGGGAGGGTCGTTGTTGTTGGGATGTGGATAAGGAGATGGAATTGGAGGCGAAAGGGAGGGTTTTGGGGATGGGTTTTTGAGGGTTTTGGTGGGAAATGAGCAAGGAGGCGAATTGGGGGAAGAGATTGGGGAAATCGGCGGCGATTTCACGGTGGTGGTCGGGAGCCGGGAGGCCGATGGAGGCAGAGAGATTGGACTCCATTGATGGACTGCTGTAACGGCCCATTGTGTGATGAAATTGAAGACGACGGCCGAAGAGGTCGTTTAAAAACCTTCTGGCTCTGGAAGTGGTTTGGTTCTGGTCAATTTTATAAATGGGGGCTGAACTTTAGGTCACTAACGAATTGGTACACTGAATTTTCAATTTTAACAAATTCATCCCTGAAGTTTGCAACAAATGGCATGATATCGTATTTCCATTTTATCATGTCCTCCGTCAATTTTTTATATAGTCCTACCCTAAACGATATTAGTTAACCAATTCATACAACTTGATGATGGAGAGGCTAGATAAACACCTGGTTGTTCTAATATGGACAGCTCATGCTCATATTCATTCAAAACTCGATATGTTATTTGATTCAATTGCAACTCAAGTTAATAGAAGTCACGCTAATGGCCTAACTCCTTGCTCCCGCACATGTACAACTAGAAACGAAGGGTGATGTTGTGCCTTTTTTACTATTACTTTGGATGAACTGACATGCTAAACTGGACTTATATAATAAGAAAGTATGACGAGTATATTAAAGTGATCATTGTCGGAGTTATATCAAACTCCCATTACCAATTTGTTGTTAACCTCAAAGTATAATGACCATTTATGTCATTGAGCCGTTTATTAATTTTGATTGAGCCATTGAAGAGACAGCATGGGTTGTGACTTGGGTGGTGGTAATGCATGTATGGCGCATGCCTTTATCCTGTAATCAGTGGTTTAGGCTTCCCTAATGAACAATTATAAGATAATTATGATAAGAGGAATAATTAAATTGGAGGCCCAATTAGCATAAACGTCTGAGAGATTTCAATTTGGGCCGATTTTGCGTCTGAGAGGTTTTCATCAACATTCGTGAGGGAAAGCCCAATCCGCATATTTCCCCTTCTTTCTTTCTTCCCTCCAAAACCTCCCACTTTCTCCGGCTCCGCTGCTCCGTCTTTCCCGACCAACACTCCAACTTCACTCCGATCACCAGTTCACCACCGCCGCCACCGAAGCTATCAAGAACTGAAGAATCGCCGAGAATCAAAACAACTCCAAAAACTTCCCCTTAACTAAAAAATCAGACCACCCTCCGTCACAAGAACACTACTCCTGCAAATCCCTAATGCTCCAATGCATTCAATCGCTCTTCTCCTTCCCTTTCTCTGGTTCGCAGCCGTCTCCAATTCCTTAACCCCCCTTCCTTCTCCTCTCTTCCCTTCCCACAATCTCACTTTCTACGGCGAAGCCCATTTCAGAAACGGCGCCATTAGCCTCACTCAAGACCGCCGCCTTTGCTCTTCTTCTAGGTCACCCTCTCCCTCCGCCGCCGCCGACGTGGGCAGAGCTCTCTATTCCCGGCCGTTCCGCTTCCTTGATCCCAAGACCAACACCGCCGCTTCTTTCTCCACCCGATTCATCTTTTCCATCATCCACCAATCGCCTCTCTGCCCTCCCGCCTCCGACGGCCTCGCCTTCTTGATCACTTCCAGCCCTAATTCCTTCAGCCTCTCCCCTGGATTCATCGGACTCCCCGGCCCGGCCTTAAACCCTAGAGACTCCTTCGTCGCCGTCGAATTCGACACCCACTACGACGCCTCCCTCCACGACCCTTCCGACAACCACATCGGAATCGACATCAACTCCGTCGTCTCCTCCGCCACTGCCGCTGCCGCCAGTGGAGGCATCGATCTGAGAAGCGGGAAGGAAATCACGGCGTGGATTGAATACTCCGATCCGGAGAAATCGGTCCAAGTATGGTTGAGTTACTCGCAGAGCAGGCCGCCGAATCCAATCCTTGTGGCGAAGCTCGATCTGGGTGAACATTTCAAGGAGTTCATGTTCGTAGGGTTCTCTGCTTCCAACGGCCGCGGCGGCTCCGCCGTTCACCTTGTCAGCCATTGGAGGCTCAATACCAATGGCTACCTTTCCTCAGCCTTCGAGCAAGGTAATAACTGCATCATTTGCTCCTCTTCTGATTACGATCACCCATCGACTGTAATCACCAATCGCGTAGATGGAAAGAGGGCAGGCAAAGTAGAAATCTTTCTGGGTTTAGCAGGGTTAGGTGCTTTAGCCATATCCATGATCTTGGTTCTGGCTGTGAGCTTTCGTTGCTTGCTTAGTCGAAAGAAGAGAAAAGTTAGAAGAACAACATTGATTCATGGCACCAAAGTCGATTCTGTTCCTTCCAGGCTATCGATCTCCGAGATAACATCTGCCACGATGGGATTCAGTAGTGCTAGAATTGTAGGTGAAGGAGCTTCTGCAACTGTCTACAAAGGCTCTCTGCCTTCTTCAGGTGCTGCAGTAGCTATCAAGCGGTTCAATAGAGCCGAGAGTGTCGATTGCATTCGTAACCCATTCGTCACTGAATTTGCTACAATGGCTGGTTGCTTAAAGCACAAGAATTTAGTCCAGCTTCAAGGATGGTGCTGTGAAGGAACTGAACTGGCCTTGGTTTATGAGTACTTTCCTAATGGAAGCCTAGACAAAGTCCTCCACGAAACAACTTCAGCATCAGCATCATCACCATCACCATCACCAGCTGTCATTCTGTCATGGAAGCAAAGGATGAACATACTGCTGGGAGTCGCTTCAGGTCTCTCGTACTTGCACGAGGAATGCGAGAGGCAGATCATTCACAGGGACGTGAAGTCCTGCAACATCCTCCTCGATTCCGAGTTCAATGCCAAGCTTGGAGATTTCGGGCTGGCAGAAGTCTACGAGCATAGCTCGATCACGAGAGAATCAACCATCCCAGCTGGGACAATGGGTTACCTCGCACCCGAGTATGTCTACTGTGGTATTCCTACACAGAAGACAGATGTGTACAGCTATGGAGTGGTGATTCTGGAAGTGGCTACTGGAAGAAGGCCCGTGGATGAAGGTGGGAAATTCGTGCTGGTGGATTGGGTGTGGGGGTGTTGGGAGAGAGGGAAGCTGATGGAAGCTGCTGATGAGAAGCTGAAAGGTGAGTTCAGTGTTGTGGAGATGGAAAGGGTGCTGATCATTGGAGTGGCTTGTGTTCATCCGAATCCGGAGAGGAGGCCGAGTGTTCAACATGCTGCTAGGGTTCTGAGAGGGGAAGCTCCATTGCCTGTCTTGCCGCCGAGGAAGCCCAAAGTTGGGTTTCAGTATGGTGTGACTGAAGAGGATGGTGGTGGGATGGCTGTGAGTCAGCAGGGAGATCAGAGCCCTGATGAGATGATGTGGATGACTCCCAGGAGCCATTTTGGATGAAACTTCTTAAACCGTTGTTTTGTTGTTTGTGGCAAGAGTTGGTTGTACAGTGGAATACTGTAATGGAAGAATTGTGTATAGAGGGTTTGACATCATTGTTGCTTTGTTGTAAGGTGATCATTGTTGTAGTAGAGAATAAATAAAAACGAGATCTTGTAGGAACTCTTGTTATTTCTTGTAACTACTAACTGGCTAACCAGCGCTGATAAGAGAGAAAGCAACGTATTAAAGTCAAGATAGCATAGAAGTAAGAGTCAAAGAGGGAAAGATATAAACAGTGGGGAGGTCACCACCCTCGCTGCCGCAGTAGCCCTACCGGGTAATAACACAACGCAAAAAAAAAAAAAAAAAGAATGAAACCCAACAACCAATCTCCCACCGTGTCCTTCCTTTAGCGCCAGCGCGGTGAGCGAGACCGCCAGATTACGCATTCCTCTTGCACCCTCTCCCTCTCTTCACCCGACGCCGCCGCCGGCCGGCAAGTTAACAGTGATACAAAGATTTTACCTTGGACCACGTCCAGTCTCTTCCTGATGGTTAGTTCTTTTTCTTAACGCATGCCCAATTCTCTTCCGTCTGCTTTCTCGTAGTTTTCCTTTCTTTCCTCGAGGTTTGGAATCTGGTTATCGCGAAATTTGTGACTTTACCATGTAGGACGGATCGAGTGTAAGACTCTACTAATTGGTTTCTTTCTGTGGAATGCATTCTCTATTGCTGTGCAATTTTGATGCATTGTGTGTTTGCCGCTTCTTTTGAACCGAGTGAACTTTCCGGCGTTAGGGTTTCATAGAGCACCTGCTGCCGGAGTCGTGATCTATTTGCAGATGGGTGCTCAATGTGTAGCTGGAATCGTAAGATTGCCCCCAACTGTTTTCTTCTTGTCCAACAGAGCAGCACTGGATTATGTATGTGGAGCAGAAAATTGAATTGTGAAACAGCTACTGATGTGTGTGATTTTTGAGCTCTTATGAATGGAGCCTACTGGAAAGGGACGGATGTTCTGTTTCATGGATACCTGTCTGGACCAATTTACAGGATTTAATCATTGTATATTCTTCGTGTATTGTATATTCTTATCAAGATCAAGTTACCTGGTCTTTGATTTGTATATTCTTCAAGGAAACAAATTTGTCTTACACTAATTCTACACCCGTCCATTTTGCAGGTAAATGTTTGTCTGCAATGCGGCGATGTAGGCTTTTCTGTGGCTTTGATTAATTGTCATGGGTGTGACCAACATCTGATCCATCGGTAACCTGCCGTTGAACTGCTTTACTCATTTTGCTGTCATGAGACGAAAGCTTCTTTCTTTCTGTAAAATATTTTATCATTGCATGAGGAGAATGGAGTAGTTTCACTTGCTGCAATTGGTGTTAGTATCATGGATTTGATTCACATACTCATAGATACTGATATGCATAGTCAGAAGAATAAAGAGAAGTTACTTGATGATTTTCTGACTTGCTTCACTTGTTCATTTTTTGTCCCAGATATTGCTTACACCCATTTCCGGGTTTCGATGACATTGTGCTGTGGTTTTGCGAGGATTGTCAGCCAAAGTTCATAAGGCTATCAAAATCTGATAAATATCCCATCGTTGTCAAAGGAAGTGACTATGCGATATTAGAACAGGTGCCTGTGAAGAAAAGAAAGCGCAGAGTGAAAAGACGGCTCTGGTCAAAAGGTTCGAAAAGGAAATCTCAGAAAAAGGAAAAGGCAGCTTCCCCCTCAACTAAAGTCGAAGTGCAAACGGTGGATGTGGAGCCTCTGATACTGAAAGATGAAAGTAGGACTCCTGTTGAAAATTTACAAATTGATTCGGCTTCCAATGGTGTTGGAGAACCAAGTAAACAGAAGAAGCGAGTGAAAAAAGGAAAGCAAAAACAACAGAAGAAGCTATTGAAAGAAGATGCAATGGTTGAAGTAGCTTCCCCCTCAACCAAAGTTGAAGTGCAAACGGTCGATTCGAAGCCTCTGATACAGAAAGATGACAGTAGGCCTCCTGTTGAAAACTTACCAATTGATTCGGCTTTTCATGGTGTTGGAGAAACAAGTAAACGGAAGAAGAAGCGAGTGAAGAAAGCAAAGCAAAAACAACAGAAGGTATTGATAGAAGATGCAATGGTTGAAGAAGCTTCCCCCTCAAGCAAAGTTGAAGTGCAAATGGTCGATGCGGAGCCTCTTATACAGAAAGATGAAAGTAGGACTCCTGTTGAAAATTTACCAATTGATTCGGCTTTTCATGGTGTCAGAGAACCAAGTGAACGGGAGAAGAAGCGAGTGCAAAAAGCAAAGCAAAAACAACAGAAGAAGATATTGAAAGAAGATGCAATGGTTGAAGCAGCTTCACCCTCAACCAAAGTTGAAGTGCAAACGGTAGATGTTGAGCCTCTGATACAGAAAGATGAAAGTAGGACTCCTGTTGAAAATTTACCAATTGATTCGGCTTTTCATGGTGTTGGAGAACCAAGTAAACGGAGGAAGAAACGAGCAATAAAAGCAAAGGAAAAACAACAGAAGAAAATATTGAAAGAAGATGCACTGGTTGAGGCTCCCCTTTGTGATATTGCACCTCTGGAGGTTAGTTGCTCCACGGTGAGAGAGCAGGATGAAGAGGAATTGGTAGTCAAACAGGCTGAACCTCTTCCAAGCAGAGATCCTCAGGCGGTTCTCTGTGAAACGCCCCTTCAAATACTTGTCGGTGAGGGTATAGAGACAGAGAATGTACTCAAAGAAGACAATCAAAATAAAGGTGATGACCGTAATAACAGTCCAAAAATTCAACTGGCTGTTACTGATGCTTCAGCTGAACAGTTGCATGATGTATGTGCTCTGCCAATAAAAGATCCAAGTTGGAGGCAAGCTCTTTACCCCCTCTTCTTCCTCATAGAATTCTTAGTATCTGAAATGAACTTACTATGTGGGCAAAGATGTGACAGTTCGGTGTTGGGTTGACCTTGCAGGGGAAGTTTGAGCATCTTCGAGCGGGTTTTCGGGACTTCAACTCGACTCGTTGCTCATCTTTCTAATTTAGCATGCCCTAGAGTAACAGAGGCTACAAAAGCATTACCGGAACTGCTTTCCACAGATCTGTTTCCAAGGCTAGATATATGGCCAAAGGGTTTCCAAAAGTGTAGACCCAGTGGAAACAGCATTGCCCTCTACTTTTTCCATAACAGGGAATGGTACTTGTTTCACAAACTTGCTTTGGCATCTTCTATTGGTTTTGAAACGTTCTTCTCTCCTCACATTTTTTCTTCTTCTTGGCCGTCTGCATATCTCTACTGTCTAGTGATGAGAAGATATTTGATAAGCTAGTGAAACGCATGATGGATCAAGACCTTGGGATAAAATCGGTGCTTGAAGATGCAGAGCTGTTAATTTTCACTTCGAAAGTGTTGCCAGTGGAGTACTGGAGTAAGGCCAAATACTTTTTGTCACAAGAAACTGATGCCTAATATTGTTTTTGAAGCAAGATTGAGATCTTACATCTTCACTTTCTTACAGTGTTCCAGAAGAAAGTCTATCTGTGGGGAGTTTTCAGGGGGAAGCAACCATCGTCGAGTGCAGCTAGTGGTGTTACTGATGAGAAAAGCCATGCCCAGAACAGCCGCAGCCCGGTTAGTCCTTTGAGCAACGGTAGTGCCTTGTGATGGTTAGGGCTCCAGTGTATATTAGCATAAGTCTGTCTTTGCCTGTTCTAGCATAATCCTATCTTAGCCTGTCAATGTATGTGAAAATAAGCTGTTCTTTCTATCGTTTTCCTGAATCACTCTTGGACTGATCTGGAGTCTTACATTGACATGACCAGAACTAATCTAGGTGGTTTATTGGGTAATCCCAGAACCAAGTCATTAGCTTTATCCTCTGTAGGAAGTAAAAGATGTTCAATCAGCGGGTTTAACTGTTTAATAATGTGTTTTGTCTCCCTTAGTATATGGATTTGTTTGACTTTAATGTCCCCCCTGCGAATTGAAAAAACAAAGGGGGGTTGAGTTGGGTTTGGTGTAAATGATATCCAGGTTAACCGCACTAATCACTCTTTCTTAGATATGAAGTCGGCCCCCCGCCGGCAGAGTTTTACAGCAATACTTTTCCTCTTTTGGGTGGGAGTTTGGCCTTATTAGACTACTAAGTACTGAATCATTGTGTGATCACATTGACATCAGCTTCCGCGCATGCATTAATTAAGTAGAAACTTAAAGGGCTTCCTTTACTTTACTGGGTTTTGTTGTTTGTTCTGTTGTTGCTTGGTTTCTTGTGAACTTCTTCTGACCAGTTTCTTGGCCCTGTGTTCTTGACTAAACTTGTGTACACAATTAGCAATTCCCATCACCCCTTTTTTTGTCGAGAACTTGGCAGTTTAGTACGTTATCAGTCACTCATGCTTGTGTCAGCGAAATGTCTATTGGGTTCCTTTTGTTTTTTCTAGCTCCTGGAGAGGAAATGCCTAAACTTTAGGACGTTTCCATTTGAGCCCCTGAACTTTGTACTTAGTTTTGACCCTCTTAAACCCTGGAGTTTCTGCGACACTCACCCCCATTCTTACGTTTTATGTCAACATTTAACGAGACAATTGAAATGCAATGTCGATGGGTAGATGAAGTAGAGTAATGACCATGTAACTGGTAAATAAATTGAGTTGCTACTTGTCGCCCGGAAATTACTCTTGTTGTTCACAATTTTGAAGAAAAACCGTCAGTCGTCTCCTTATCCCGACTGCTGTCTCCCCGTCTTCTTTGCCGTCTCCCCATCGTGTAATTGATCGCGGAACTGCTGAAGGTTGGTTTAAGACACTAACGACACGTCTAATATCAGGACAAGAACCAGAAAACACGAAGGCAAGGATAACGAGATGAATGATTGAGACTCACTATGTTTCTGTCTTGACAGACGAAGATAGATGGCTGATGCTGCTGGAAATCAACCATATTTATAGCAGTGGAGATATAGCACCATTTGTAGCCTTATAATCTTGCATTATTATTAAAAACAGGAGTCACCGTTGACAAAAAAAAAAAAATAGCGTGAGAAGGAAAAGACTTCAGAGGTAATTAGGAAGGTGACTAGTGGATGAAAGATAGACAGTCTCATCGATATCTCAAATGGAGATCAAGAAACCTCATAGAGGTTTTTGAAACTCAAAAGGAAACCTTAGCGGTTTGCGGTTTCGAATCGCAACTGCATGGTTTTGGGATTGGCCGATCGCGTGACAACTGACAGTTTTTAGAGCAGACTGCAACTAAGACCCGCTAACTTATTCGTGTTGTTTGAAGAGGTTCGAACGTACCGATGTCCACCTCAATAAGTTGGCGACAACATGTGTCGTTGATCGTATATTGATTTAGTTAAAATGTTACCAGGTTTATTACTGAATTTTTTATTTTAACCGAAATCAAAGCCATTGAGATACTAGCACAGTTGTAAAATCGGAAACCAAAACCATTAATCTTCGTATCTGCTTGATTTCGAATAAAACTGAATAAACCATAACCGAACAAACCGTCCCGATAATAATAATAATAATAATAATAATAATAATAATAATAATAATAATAATAATAATAATAATCCAACAATTAAAACCCTCCATCCAAATATTCTCAAACTCTACCCTCTCTATCGATGTTTGCAATGCCATCTCCTAACCTTTTGCCCTTTTCTATTTAGCTCTTTCACACACCTTATTATCCTCATTTTGATCCCTAATCCACCACCAAGGAAAGGGAAATGAATAACAAAATGAAGGGTACATACAAGATTTGAAAAAATAATAATCTTGTAAAGCTTCCAAAGGCATGCAACAATCAATCACCCACCACTTCTTTACTTCTTTCCACACCTTTGAACTCTTCAAAACTCTCTTTGCCCAAATGTTTCCAATTTAGCATTGCAATCGGCTCCCCATCTCAGCACACTTACAAACTCGATAATAACAATAAAAAGGATATGAGAAAATAATAAACAACAAAAAGAAGAACAAATCTAATGGAATTGCTTTCATAATTAAAAGTACTTCCAATGCAAGTGAATAATGTAATTGATATGCTAACCTAACACTAGTGTCAGAATGAAGTCAGAACTTCGTCTTGATTCCATATTGTCATGAACTCGCTGCTAATTTTCTCCGAAAAATAACGTAGCAATCATCATTCAAAAACACAAGAAAACGAACGAGAATATCCGATAAAAAAACGGGTACTTACCCGCCACTTTTTCCTTTATTGCTTCCCAAGTCCATGCCTATTGAGTACATGAAAGAAGAATAAATTTGGTATATTCTCATAAACAATTTTCAATTTACTACACATACAAGAAAATTGTGGGGAAAAAAAACTAAGAAAAACAAAACAAGAAGAAAATGATGAGCAAATGAAGCTTAAATTGCCTATCAACTTGGCCCACCATTCTCAATTTGTTTTTCTTCTCTTCTTCCTAAAAGCCATTAAATAACCTCCTTCAAAGTCCCAACTAGCTAACCTACCCAAATTATTAAAAAACAAAATCCCCCACACAAAATGTCCAATCTACCCCTCTTAGTCGCTGTCAATTTCCGTTTCTACCCCTGAGAATCTGAATCAGCTTCCGTCATCCATGAGATGAGCGCTACGAAATAAATTGTGAACCAGAAAAAAACCAAAATTGAAGAAAATAGAAAAAGAAAAATGAATTTTCATCTACGATCAGAAGTCAAAGTTGCCGGAGTTGAAATTGTTGAAGAGGTCAATCGACGGGAACGGCGAATTCGCGTGCGGCGAGAACCCGGTGACGAAGTTCGTGTGGGGGGAGAATCCGGCGACGAAGTTCGCTTGAGGGGAGAATCCGGCGACGAAGGTCGACGGGCTGCTGCTGTGCAGTTGCCCCGCCGGGCTCACAAGGTCGTGGAAGAACCCTAACGAGCTCGGATCCGCTGATGGCGTCGACGACGGCGGAGGGAAGAAGAAGCTCGGAGAGATCGGCGGCAGGGAAGCCGGCCCGGGCGACAGTATCCCCGGCGGCAAACCCTGTTGAGATCCACCCATCAGTTGACCCATCTCCACCCCTTCCATGAAGAAATCCCCCAAATCTCCATTCCCACTCTGCGGATAAATCAACGAATTCCCCTTCCCCTTATCTTTAGGCGAATTCGCTTTCTCAATCGTCGCGTACCTGGCCGCCGGAGACATCGCGCCGGGGTCGTCGTTGAACGGATTCGAGGAGGAGGAGGAGGTGGCGGCGGCAGCGGAGGACGAAGAGGAGCCGGTGAGGCGTTGGACCAGGTTCATGAAATCGCCGGGATTGGTGTGAATCACTTTGGGGGAAACCGTGTAGATTATGACCGGGGCGCGCGGCGGCTGCGACTGGTGTTGCTGGGTCGGGTTTGGATTCGGATTCGGGTTGGGAGCGATGGGAGGCTTCTTGATTTTGTGGGAATCTTTGCGGACTTTGAGCGCCGGCGGGCGGGGACCCTGGAGCTCCTTCCGAGGGGATCTGGCGACCGGGAAGTCGGATGAGTCCATGAGGAAAGGGGGAAGGTCCCACCAGCTGGACGGCGGCGAGGAGAGACGGTGGTGGAGGTGATGATGGAAGAAGTGGGGAGTTGGAGGAGGAAAAGCGAAGAAGCATAATTGTTGTGTAGTAAAATATAAAGGGTGGAGGAGACGAGAGGGGAGGAAATGGCTAATGGGACGAACGAAGTATTGAACGAGAGCTAAGTCAAAGGGAAAATTGCCGAAAGGGATTTTCTTCAATAAATAAATGGGGAGGAACCAAGTCACTCTTTCTCGAGTTTAAGCTTTAATGGAAGTTTCCATCTTAGGTTCATAAACAAGATCAAGCTAAGTAATCCAATAAAAAAAAATGTTTAGCAAGTGATAGAACTAGTCTAGCCTTTGGTAAATACGAACTTATGAATCCAATACTCGAACTTCAAAATGTTCTTGAGAATGACATTGTAAGTTTCAATTTCTGAAGACGGATTGTTAAACAAAGTCCTAATTGATCCAAATTCAACCAGTGACAAGTGAGGCAGGCAAAAAAATAAAATATTTGCCAAACCCAAATTTTATAGGTCAAATTAGCCTTTAGTAAGTTTATTTTTGGGGCAAATTCATACACAAAGTTTTATATTGGGTATAAACTGGATAGTATTAGGTATATAGAAGAAACACCGATAATAGAGGTCTAGTCAGGTTGAAGGCGGTTGATGGGATGGCTAATATTATCTTTTTGTGTGTACAATCGTCTCAACCCAAGTACCAACTTTGATAGGATCCAAATGACCTGAACTATATTGAACTAAATCAAACCTCAAAACCATAAAAGCTGTATATAGATCCATTTAGAATCGACCTAATCTTACATAGATAATGACAATTAGGTTAAATTATCTAACAAATCGACTCATTATCATTGCTAATCTCGTGCCAAGCTAATGGCTATAGATTCAAGAGAGCTCGAATATGTTAATGGATTTGGAGTCTTTCATTCCGTTTAAATACTATCTTCATTTGTTTGGCTAGTAAATAGAAACCTCTAGCAACATACAACTAGTTTTGAGGAGTTTCGACCCTTGAGAATTTCAAATTTTACGTATAAACTTTATGAGGATGTTGAAACTTTCGTATAATAAGCTATAAAACTGTTTAATGTGTACAATGTAACAAAATTCAACATATGAGTTTTAATATGGTGGTGACTGAAAATTGGTCAAAGGGTTTTCTAAATCCTTTAATTTATTTCAAAATATGAGTTTTAATATTGTTGAACAAATTTCAACACCTGTTCTCAACTTGTATATACTTTTTTCTCTCAAATCCTTTAATCTAAAACAAAATTAACTAAGTTCTTAAACTTACATTTTTTTTGTAGGACTTACAAATTCGTAAAGATATTTTTGGACATATGATGAATAAAATGTTTTTTAAATACTAATATAAAGTAGACATTATTTTTTAATTCTTACAATATGATGGATTACACCATACTATAATGCATTATTAACTAGAGGGGTCCTTGATTTCTTCAGATCAGGTACTATTCCTAGTGGGGTTAACTCCACAGTTGTGTCTCTGATTCCCAAAACTTCTAATGCTGACACCTTAAAGCATTTTAGGCCTATTTCTTGTGTGAATCTTTATACAAAATAGTGGCTAAGATTCTTGCTAGAAGAACTAGAGAAGTTTTCCCCCTGGTCATTAGTAATACACAATCTGCTTTCATCAAGGGAAGGAGTATTATAGATAATATTCTTCTAGCTCAGGAACTGGTTAGTGGATAACATAGATCTGGATTGTCTTTTCGAAGTGCTATTAAAATCGATATTATGAAAGCGTTCGATTCTGTTAACTGGACGTATCTCTTCCTTATGATGAATGCAATGGGGTTCCCTAAGAGGTTTGTGAAGTGGATTTAGTGTTGCATACAAACAGCTCATTATCGTATCAATATCAATGACAGTTTATGTGGTTTCTTTAGGGTTAGAAAAGGGGTACGACAGGGTGATCCGTTGTCACCATACCTCTTCACCATCGCCATGGGAGGTTGTCCACCATGTTGTTACAAGCTAGTCAATCAGGGTTAATTCCATTCCACCCACAATGTAGAAGAATATCATCTGCAAAACACATGTGATTTAATGGTATTCTTGTGTTTACCACTAAAACTGCTCAAGCTATTCTTCAGGTAAAGGCGGTGCTGCAACGGTTTTATCAATTGTCTGGACTTAGAAGTAATCCTGCTAAGTGTGAAATTTACCTTGGAGGAGAGTCCATAAAATACAAGAGCAATGCTCTGATTCTCTCTGGATTCCAAGAAGGTACCTTGCCAGTAAGATACTTGGGCCTGCCCTTGTTAAGTGGTAAATTATCGTCGAAGGAAGTTGATATTTTGGTTGATAAGATCACCAAGAGGATTAAATCATGCGATCAAAGAAGTTGACTTATGTAGGGCAATTGCAACTGCTAAATTCAGTGCTTTTAGGAGTTCAATACTGGATGCAACTCTTTGTTCTGCCAAAGCAGGTTCTTAAGCGAGTTCAGAAAGTTTGTTCTCAGTTTTTATGGTATGGCACAATGATGGCAGAGCTAAGGTGGCATGAGACTCTATAGCGCTTCCAAAGAAGGAGAGTGGGTTGGGGGTAAAAGGTTTGCGAGCTTGGAATCATGTTTGTACTATTCAAATGCTTTGGATGTTTCTATTGAATTCAGGAACATTGTGGGTGGCCTGGATGCATGAATACAAGTGTAGGCTGCGCAATTTATGGTCATTGAAGGTTTAGTACACTAGCTCATGGGTTTGGTGCAGGCTGCTCAAAATGAGGCCTCTTATTCGATCCTAGCTGCAGAAGCAACATAATGAAATATACTGGGACTCTAAGAAGATGGTGGTCTATTCAGTTCGCAGAGTGTGGGACACGTTGAGGACAAAAACTCAAGAGGTTCCATGGCACAAGCTTGTTTGGAACAAATCTTGTCCTCCAAGATAAAGTCTGTTTGCTTGGATCCTGGTCAAGAATGTCATTGTCATGCGGGACAAGCTGTTGAAATGGAGGAAAATCAAGGATGCTTCATGTTCTTTATGTGGTAAGGTTGTGGAGACTAGGGATCACCCTTTTCTCCACTACTCTTTTACTTGCAGGCTTGCCTCCTTGGTGCATTGTTGAATGCTGATGCACAGAGACTGGGATACAATGCTACAAGTTACTAGTGGCATAATCTGCAGAAACTCTTGAGATGGAACCTAACATGCTTTAATATGGTGCATGATTTTGCCATTTGTGTGGAAGAAAAGGTGTGGGGTGATTCATGGCTCGCCTTGTCGTGACCCAGAGAAGGTTGCTGAGTTATTAAAGGTTAATTTGTAGTTTATATCTTATGGCAATAGAGGGATGCAAGATGCACTTGCAAAGCTAGGCAACTTATAATTTTCTTTGACTTTATCTACGGTAAGTAGTTATAGATAGGCAAGATGGTAGAAGAGAGTTGTATTGCATGGGATCCATTGTGATCTTGCTTCGTTGTATCAGTTTCTTTCTTGGGCAATAAAAGTAACCGATTCAACGGGAAAAATGCATTATTAATCTGTTTGTTTCTTTGCTAATATATATTAAACTTGTCATGGTAGAAATATTTTAGTTTAAATTTTATTTTGAGTGAAAATTCGTCATAATATGCAAAACATGGGGCAGTCTATAGCTTCTGTTAAAAAAGAGCTAGCGGAATGTATAGAAGTCTCTTGAGGAGTTATACTAAGCCAAGAAAGAGATTTAGCAGTCATTGAGACAAAGACTTAGCGCAAGAGTAGGAGTAGGACACAACATTCATGTTTCAATCATGAAGATAAGATGTGGTACATAAAAAAATTAAAATGTTAAATTATTTGTCTATTGCTTTTCTAATATGTATTGAAACTACCATGTTATAATTTTTTAGTTTATATCTTATTTTGAGTGACTATAATCATCGCAAAGTTGCATTTATCATAATATCACAACTTCCTTCAATAATCCATTAAAATTTGTATCCCCTTTGTTCTGGTCATTCTCAATCAACAGACATATTAGGCACATTCTAAAAAGCAATGACATCTGAAATATAAAATCTCGACTTGTTTGATCAAGATATTGTTCACTTTGAGTCTATCTACAAGATTTTGCTGTTGGGGTATCATGATCTTTCTGAGATGTCACCCATCTTGCACGGCTCCACACTAAGCACATTTAACTTTAGATTTCTTACAAGAATTCAACCATTCATCTCAGAACTCGTATTGTAAATTAAATTTGGAGCCAAGAGAGATTGGGGCCTTGTGTACGTAGCGGTAACCAAGAGAAAGTAAATAATCGATGTGATTGGGAGGCGTTAATGAACAAATCTTTTTCACGTCTTCTCAAAACGAAAATTGACTTGTGATATTTAGTTTGTGCAGGTTGAACATCATCATCCTTTGTGTTAAATTGTTGTTTGTATTGGAGGTCATCATAAGGATTCAACACCATGATCTCTCGTCAAAACTTCTGATACTATTTTGACGGACATATATACTATTTAATCGCAATAACTCGAGTTGATGGAATATAATATGCATATATGTCATTGTTTTTGTTTTTGTTTTACGTGTGGAGGCTAATTAGTGGATGATGATTGGATGATGGAGATTAAGTAAGGGATTTGTAGGCCCGTTTCCTGGTTTGTTTATAGAAGTTTGAATGTTTCCTCCTGGTTTGTTCATTTGTGGCCACTTCGAGAACTTAATTGGGCCACGCCAAGCCAATTGCTGATGCGTCGTACAACCCCGCAGCTGCAGCGTTGTTTACTGGACAACGAGTGAACTGAAAGACCCAAAAGTTAACATTTTGGTAGCTTCTCTTTGGCTCTTTAGCTAGCAAAGGTGACGAGTTTCGGTTTAAGTGTACAATACAACTACAAGTCACAGGTCATAAACTGTATCGTTCTGTTTTTCAACTGGGTGGTTGTAACGAAGTGTCAAATTAATGTCTTCGGTTTCTGCCGGAAGTTGT